CAGACAGACAGACAGACAGACAGACAGACAGACAGACAGACAGACAGACAGACAGACCTTTTAAGGTTCAAAAGGGTTTTTAAGATTAAGTTATGTTCCTGCTGTGAACGAAATGAGCTTGGGACAAGGTGAGCCAGCTTTCAGCCTTTATCGTAGTCCGAAAACCTCTCCACACAAGACCAGATGCTCTGGGTAGACGCTTGTTTCTCAGCGCAGACCGAGGGGCCTCTCTGGGTCAGATAAATGGACACACAGGTTCCTTCTCATGGACTTGGTCTTTCAGCAAAGCGGTAGATTGACCAGGAAACTGAGGAACTCACAGCAAGGATGATGTTTCAGGCAGGTTTCAGATATGTGTGTCAGTGGTCTGTTAAACTTTATTTTTAATGATCTGTGTGAACTTGGTGATTCATGCAAACATAGCAAATGTATAAATGTCAGCCTTGTTTACTGGATTCTTCTCAAAAGCACCGCATTCTAACTGATTTTATATCAGCACCAGCCAAACTGACAGAAAGCCGACAGTTAAATTTTTTTTTTTAAAAACGACCGGACTTGAGGAAGGAGGAAGTGACCGGCGCGACACGGGCTGTTTTCAGCTCTGTCTCATCAAATGAACCACACTTGTTACAAAACAAGTTCACCAAGTAACTTTAAGCATCGTTCAAACTGAAACAGAGGCAAGCTGGACAGCTGTCTGTGCGTGTCTCTGTGTGTGTGTCAGCTTCACTCAGAGTCTGTGAGGGGAGAGGTGGGCTTTCTGTGTGTGACTAGCCAATCACAGCTCGTGAAGACAGTCATTTACCCAATGAGGATCCTCCTTCACAACGAGCATGGATATTGACAAGTTGTATTCGTTTCATGCTCGTACTCATCAAAAATGCATTATCCGTAACAAATACTCGTCTGAAACGAGTATCCGGCTTAACCCTAACGAAAACCTCAGAAGAAGACATGGAGCTCAACTTCCTTTTTTGCAAAATGTAAACAAACATGGAGTACCATCAGATTTTAGTTGTAGGATTTATTTTTTTGGTTTTGGCAAACGTGTCAAACACTATTTCACAATGGATGATGAGCATGAGTGGAAGATGATGCATAACCATGTTATACATCTTATTGTTTTCCACATAAGGCGGCTGAGGCTCCACGTGAGGCAGCGTTCACTGAGAAGAAGCTCACCCCACTTTAAAGCAGTGATGTCCACCTCATACAGACATTAAGCAAAGTATTTACAAGATATGAGTAACTTTATTACTGTTCTTACTCAGAATGACCTGCGTTATAGTCTGGTTCCTGCTACTGGAGTGGTCTCTGGTCCACTTGGCATTCACACATGTAATCGAAACACACCAGAGTTTACTTCAACTGAACCGAGATCTACAGTTTCAGGCAGATGAGTTAACTTTTTGGTCTGCATCAGAGGTCAATTATACATTCACACACCTATCCAAATGATCTACAGTATGTTTGCAAGTGGACCAGAGTTTTTTGTTTTTTTTTTGGTCCACATCAGAGTTCGATTACGCGTTCACACCTCACCAAACAATCTGGACTTTCTAGACAAATGAACTAGAGTTTGATTAAACAGGACTAAACAGGGCTGGTGTGAATGCACCCTAAACTAAAATTATTAGATGTTGAGAGCAACAGCCTTGTAGCCATTTTGGTCAAGCATTGAAAATAAAAAGACAAACCCAGCGGTCACTGCAGGGTGGGATGTTGATCACTATTTGATTTAGATGGCCATCATTATTGGTCTCAACCAATGTGAGCCTTCGTTGTAGGGCGGCGGCTGCTGCTAGGCAATGCTCACATGAACCAATGGGAAAATGGGCCACAATAACAGAAACATAGAGGAAGACACCGGACATCTCCATGGGTATTCTTTAAAACTCTTTCTAACAACGAGTTGGAAAGTAGAAAAGTTATCTGTAAACACGGCAAACTGTCTTACCACCAGTGGAGTTAGAGCCTGAAATATCACTTCAATTCAAAACACACCATTGATGCCAATCAGCCACTGTAAAAAACAGAGGGGGGCTTCTGTAGATGAGGCCGGATGCAGCATCTGGGACAAATATTCACAAACAATTGCAAGACAGGCTTGCCCTTTATTAATATTTCATTACTTTTATAGTGTTCTAAACATTTTTGTCAAAATGTAATTGTATGCATAATGATGAGTTAATTGCGATTAATCTTAAAAACAGAAAATACTTGCAATTACAATTTTTAATCTTTGCCCATCACTGGTTTGTCTGTAGAGACAGAGAGAAAGGATTAAAATAAAATAAAGTTTGCAGTCAGTCAGAGTATGTTTGGTGAGGCTGAGGGTGAGTTCACACCAGGAAAGTCCTTTAGTCGGCTTGTTTGGTCCGGACCAAAAGTGGACTTTATTTTTTACATTTGGTGCGGTTTGCATTCACATTGTGCTTTTTTGCAAATGAACTATAAGTTGTAAACAAAGCCACGAGGCTGAGGATCATTGCTCCCATTGGACAAAAAAGAATGGGGGCGGGACTGAGCCACGGACCCAGAAAAAAACATGGAAGTCCTGCATGCTGCGGTTCTGATGCGCACATTTATGCTGAGAGTACAACTGCAATAGCATTTAAAATATCAAAAGCAGCTAATTTAATGGTGGTTCCATGATGATATTCTAATTTTGGAGCGGCATCAGTAAATGTGTCCCGCAACCCAAAGGAGACGAGGTGCGCTGCGTGTTCTGACCCACAACATGCTGGTAGCAGAGCTGCTAACAGGAGACGACGAAACAGGTATGATTTCAGTTTATTTAGCTCAGCAACGGTGGCCTGTGAAGTCCAAAAAGACGCATGTTTAATGCAGTTGGTTCGATTAGAGTCCGGTCTGTATTCACACCAGAAGCAAACTGAAGCGAACCGCACCAGAGTTCGTTTGGAAGCGGACCGAGACCACCTCAAAAAGCAGGTCTCGGTCCGGTTGTTTGATCCGCACCAGAGTTCACGAGTTTATTCACACCTGCACTAAAGGTCCGGACCAACGCTGGAAACGAACTCTGGTTCGTTTAAAGCGGACCAAATTGTCAGGTCTGAATTCGACCTGAATCACCACTTAGAAAATTTTAGCTCAGTATCTGCAAAATTGAATTAAAGGTTTTGTGTTTTCCAAGATCAAAATTTACAATTGCAAATGGGCTCCACCTTCAAGTAATATCAAACATACAAGAGTAGACAACAAAGGACAAATAAGCAAACTAATAAGGTAAAAAATATGAAACACACCACAAAATACTAAATTCAAGAATAGTAGAACAAGAAGAACTAGAAATCATATCAAAGTCAAAGTTTTCCCCCTTTATGCTGCCTCATGTTTTTGATGGGAAAATGAATGTAAAATGAATGTATGTATGGGTTTATTAATAGGAGATCAGTGATCTCAGCAGATTTCCCATTAGTGACAAGGTTCAGTTTCAGGCTTCCATGCATAATTCAGTCACACTGATGAAAAGTTCAAACAGTCCACCTTCAGTGCAGGTGAGACCAGCAGGAGAGGTCAAGGAAGGACGGATAAGAAAGAAGGATAACAAATTAAATGGCTCAGTGTGTGCACAAGTGAGCCACATCATTAAAACCACCTGTCATGTTTAGAAAACGACTGAAGGAGAATAAAACCCTTAAAAGTTGTTTTGTAGCATTAAAACCACATCAGATTATTTTATGTCACAGTATTTATGATGTTATGTTGGGGTTTCATCTATTTTCAGATGCATTGTGATATGAACATAAACTATCCTGAAACCATTTTAAAATATCAACAATCAATACAGAAATAGTGAAAAATGAGCAGCCAGGAAGTAAACAGACAGAGAGATGGACGTAACATGGTAAGGGTGTTTATTTAGTGATGCATATTGTTCTTCGAGAAACAAATGGAACAGGAGGAAGTGAGAGGTTAGTAGTTCACCAGTTGATGAGGCTGACTGTAAAATGTAGTTTATTTCTCTTGCAGGTAATCAAAGGTCCAGGGATCTCAAGTATAAAGGAGTGTGCAGCTTTCACACTAAAAGTTGCCGTAAGGAAAAACTTTGAAAAGAGCAGATTCACCTCTCGGCACAATCAGAAAAGATTTTAGTGCACGCATGCATGAGCGTGTGAAGCTGCTGTCTTCAGCTGTGCATGAGGCTGAGAGACATTTCCATCTTTACATGTCTTTAATAAATGACTGTAAACACAGAGGAACTATGAGTTTGGTTTATTTATGAAATAGCTGATATAAAGAAACAAGTTGCAGTGCCTCAAGTTTCTGCCACAGTGTGGGATTTATTTTTTACAATCATGCAGTCAGTGTCACAAGTCATAAATCTGTCAATTCATCCATCATTAGATTTCTGATCAGTTCCAAACATCCATGTATCAGATTTTCTTAGTATTTACAGGATGATAAAACTGATGAAAGTTATATTTTATATGACCACTGTTTGACACAAAGGCTGCATGATGTCATGTCAGTTTGTTATGAATAGACCTGTCATTTAATCAGAAAAATAAATGATCTGTTCATTGTGTAGTTAATATTTTAAACATGCAGTTGCTTGGCACAATGACATGTTACAAATAAAACTAAATCAAGAACAAACAATATAAAGTAAAATTCTCCTAAAGTCATGGTTTGGGATAAATTATCACCTTAATTTCATTGTCAGAGCCACAGCAGTGAGTTTAAAAACAGGATGATTCAACTGGAATCTGTCTCTAATTTAGTTATTTAATCAAGTGTTTTATGTAGGTAAAAGTATGTTTAGGAACCTGTAAAATACACCAGAATGCAGGAAACTGCATCTACTAGTTTCAAAATTTTCTGGTGGAGGACCCCCAGACCCCCACTAATGCCCCCTCACACACATTACAATGCTTCTGATACTCATTGTTTAACGTTAGAGAGAATAAACCAACACACCTGTAGTGCACCACCAAACTGAACTATGTTCTATGAAGCTAGTTGATGGTCAAACTGTACTCCTGGTGAGTTTAAAGAGCTGCTATAGTACGTAGTATAAAGCAGGTGAACATCATATAGGTGTGATTGAGTACACATTATTACACCACAGCAGAAACATTTTATTTTGTAGTTGATGAATGTGAAGAAGCAGGTTTTGATCTGTGAATACAAAATACAAAAATATTACATGCTAGTACATCTTTGTCTAATTTTTTATATGTACAAAAATTGGGCCGGTTTTAGCCATTAAACTCCCGGGCTGAAAAGTTTCCCCACTTCGCCCCTGAGATCAATTCCATCTCGCCAGCAAAGTCCAGGAACCACAGCTGGCCTGTGACCCTCAGCAAGGACCGCGTGCAGGCCGAGTCCCAGCTCGCACACGGTGTGAGTCTGAGTGCTGAAAACATGGCCATCCTTCATATTGGTCAGGCAGCCAGGAAATGGCCTGAATAGCCCCCAATGGTGATAACACCTGGAGACCACCAAGCATATCTGTAGAATCCAGTGATCAGAATCCAAAGATTTATCCAGAACAGAGCAGAACAGAGGTCCCACCTTTGACATGTCCTCCCATGGAAGAAAATTTGTTCCAATAATTTATTAAGAGACCAACTAAACAAATTCATAAAAATACATCCATAGTTTTTGGTTTAGGATGAAAAACGTTGAGGAGGCTCAGAGCAGCAAAACACGGAAAGATAAGAGAAGGCAGGAGAGAGGGGAAAATGTGTCTTACTCCTCCGAGAGCACAAGGGGAAAAAGTATTTACCTTAAAATTAACCTGACAGGTTCATACCTGACCCTAACTAACCTAAATTCAATTCTCACCTTGGTCCTCAACCCAACCCCCCACCCAAAATCAGCCTTCGAAGTCATGGGGACTGGGCTTTGGTCCCCACAAAGAGCATTCGGTCCCCACAAGGCTGCATTTTCCTGAAAAATCATCCCCACGAAGTAACAAAATCAAGGGCGCACACACACACACACACACACACACACACA